GGAAGCACCCTCCAGGGCGCCGGGAATCACCTGCTCTGGCTTCTTCCCGAATACCTCTCAGGACAGCCTGGAGCCTTGGAGGGAGACATCCTCCTGTTGCCACGGCGACGCTGGACCACTTGGGGCAGGACCGGGATGCCTGTCTGCCAGCAGATGGCGCCGTTGGGCGGTTTAATGGACGTTGGCTCCACGGACCAGGCAGTCACCAACCAGAGGAGGCTGGGGTAGCCGTAAACGGAGAAGACACGCCCACTTTATGCCTTTGCTCCCGAAAATGTTAGGTTTCACGAAAACAAGTACCTTTTCATCATTTTCCCCCGTGAAGGGCGATTACAAAGTAAGAATAAAAGGCATCATTCTCCAGGTTCTAAGTAAGGGAGGGGACACTGCCCCCCGCCAACACCCTGTCCCGTGGAGAGACACCCTGGGCCTGGTGGATAAAAATGTATAGTAGGGCCGGCTGCATCTCTCGCAGCAGGGCCCTGGAGCCATCGCCGGAAACACCACCTCTTTCTGGAGGTTTTCTGCCCCAATAAAGAATTTGCGTGGTCAGCGGTGATATGGAAGCCCCCGGTCAGCTTGTTTAGAAGAAAAGCTGCTGAAACACATAGCACGGCATGAACCCTTTGGATTAAAAACAAAAACACACGGTGTTTGTACAAGGTTGTCACAGAAAACGAAAACCCCTTGTCTTTTGTTTCTCTGACGTATTAGCTTCCACGGGGGACGACGATGTACGCTGAACTGATGAACATTTCCCAAAGAACGTGTTTGCCGCTGCCTGGGTCATTGCAATGCCTCCTGCATCCTCCACGTGGGGCGCCAAGCCTGCACAAAGTGGAACCCCTTTGTGTGCAGGGGCCGAATGCATCCATCCATGTAAGTTAAGGGCTCCTTACAGCAGAAACTAACACAGCATTGTAAAGTAACTATACTCCAATAAAAAGTCATTTTAAAAATTTAAATAAGGGACTTCCCTGGCGGTCCAGCGGTTTAGACTCTGGGCTCCCAATGCAGGGAGCTCGGGTTCGATCCCTGGTCAGGGAACTGGATCCCCCACGCCGCAGTGACGATCCCGCCTGCCGCAAACTAAGACCCAGCGCGGCCACATAAATAAATATTTTTTTTTTTAATGTGCATTTTTGGCTTTTTTCACTCCTGCAGAATGACCGTGTCTATGGGAAAAGCATCGAAGGGAAATATGGTATTGAAGGGAGACGGCAGTAAGCACACCCCAAACGCTCCTCTTTTACAAAGCTTTCACGCCTAGGATCTCATGGGACCCCTGGGGCTGAGTGTGCAAAAATGGACTTGCCGGGCTTGTGCAAATGCATGCAGGGAGACGTTTGCTAAGGAGCGGAGTCTGTCCTGTTTGGAACGATGCACCAGCGTGGGACTGTCACCCCCAACCCCTGCCCTGTGGAGATGCTGGTGATGAAACTGTGCTGGAGAAGGCTTACGGGGTCCTCCAGATCGACTGTGGTTCATCTCTGGGCTGCCCTGTGCCCGTGTGATTGACACCTGCCTGGCTCTGTAACTGCCTGATTTGGGGGAGGGGTCGTCGGCCAATGGGTGAGAAGGGGCTGCTGCCTAGCAGGTTTTTCCTGGGTTCTACTCCCCACACTGAGCAGCTCTTTCCTTTGGTCTTCGAGACCTGGGGGGGGGGGGCGGGCATCCCCCTCCCTTGGGGATTCCCCTTGGCTGAGCCCACGCTGTAGGAGTGTCTCATCTATGATCTCTTCGGGGCCGGGGGGGGGGGGGCGTGCATCCCCCTCCCTTGGGGATTCCCCTTGGCTGAGCCCACGCTGTAGGAGTGTCTCATCTATGATCTCCAAGACGCGGACCCATACAGGAAGGAAGCAAGTAGCTTCAGTGCCAGGCTGTACAAACGGGTATTATTCGGACGTTATCAGAATTTCAAAGGGCCATCCTCAGCTAGACAATACCTTGGCACCGTTTATTTTAAATTTTCTAATGTGATTCTTTAACAAATGTAAATCCGTATAGCAGGGTTTGTTTTTTAAAAAAAAAAAATTTATTTATTTATGTATTTATTTGGCTGCGCCGGGTCTTAGTTGGGGCACACGGGATCTTTAGTTGCGGCATGCGGGATCTAGTTCCCCGGCCAGGGGTCGAACCCCGGGCTGCCTGTACTGGGAGTGCGGAGTCTTAACCGCTGGACCGCCAGGGAAGTCCCTGTGCCATATTTTAGATTCCACAGATAAGTGACATCATATGATATTTTTCTTTGTCTGACTGACTTCACCTAGTATGACAGTCTCTAGGTCCATCCACGTTGCTGCAAACGGCATTATTTCATTCTTTTTTATGGCTGAGTAATATTCCACTGTATATATGTACCACATCTTCTTTATCCAGTCCTCTGTCGATGGACACTTAGGTTGCTTCCATGACCTGGCTGTTGTAAATAGTGCTGCTGTGAACATTATTTTACTTTTTAGAATAATAATTGATCTTCATGGTGCTTATAGATGGACATGGCTACAAAATGGTTAGCTTTGGAAAAGTAGAAATTGCTTTAAAATTTTGTCATTAACAGTAAAACCATCCTCCAGATGCCTGACCCACCACCCAAGTCATTAAGCTACCAGCAAATCAAAACCTAATTAGTATAGGAGACTTCAGTTGGGAAAATAGATTCTAAAATTCATCATAAACAGGTTCACATCTCTCAGGATGGCTACTATCAAAAAAGACCCCAGAAAATAACAAGTGTTGGTGAGGATGTAGAGAAACGTGAAAGCTTGTGCAGTGTTGGTGGGAATGTAAAATGGTGTGGCTGCTGCAGAGAACAGAATGGAGGTTTCCCAAATAGTTAAACACCGAACTACCATAGGATGCAGCCTTTGAGTACTTACCCAAAAGAACTGAGAGCAGAAACTCGGAGAGGTCTTTGCACACCCACGTTCACTGCAGCGTTATTCACAACGGCCAAAATATGGACTGTAAACGTTCATAAACGTAAATGTTCATGCATGGGTGATGGACACACAGTGGAATATTACTCAGCCCTAAAAAAGGAGGGAACTTCTGATGCAGGCCACGACGTGGATGGAC